TTCTCTTTCTTAGAGGAACTCCAGATTGATTTCTTTTATATATGTGTTGGGTTTATAGATTAGGAAGTTTCTGCATAGAAGTTTTTTCATATGACTTTTTCAGAAGGCTTTTAGTGTTAGTTATCCTTCTCTATTTTCTCTCCAGCACTCTGCTCTCTCGTCTCCCACCCACTTAACACTTCCTGTTCCATTATGCCCCCTTACCACTTTATATCACTGTTTTCTATCTTCCTTCCCTTGAATATTGCCATTATGGCCTCTTATTAGTTTCCTAACCTCTGTGGGTATTCCAAATGAAACACAAATATCTAAATATTCAAGGCTAACATCCACAAATGAGAGAAAACATACACATGTGTATCTGAGTTGGAGTTACCTCATTCAGAATGACTCTTTCCAGCTCTATCCATTCACCTGTAAATTTCATGATTTTGTTTTCCTTAACAGCTGACTAATATTCTATTATGTAAATGTACAAAATTTTTATTATCTACTCATCTTTTCATGGACATCTAAACTGTTTTTATTTTCTGGTTATTTTAAATAGAATAACAGAATCTTTGGGGTATATACTGAGGAATGGTGGCTCACACCTGTAATCCTAGTACTCAGAAGAGAGAGGCAGGCAGATACCTGTGAGTTTGAGGTCAGCCTGTTCTACAAAGCAGGCCCAGGACAGCCAGAGCTACACAGAGAAATACTCTCTCACAAAACAAAACAAAACAACAAAAAGGGAAATTAGCCATTTATTTTGGGAAAGGTACACAGTCTAAGACATAGGATAATATGCTTGGGAAGTATGATCACAGTGACTTAGGTAATCCATTAAAAACACAGATGCCAAACATGCTTCATTCTATTTCTCAAAGGTGAGAATCTTATTTCTATGCCAGAAAAAAATGAATATTAATACCAATAATGGAATTTTGAAGATAAGTTCATGAAACGTGCATTTTAAAATATTTTGGAAGTGACATTTATGATAAAGAAGATGTTATATTTATAGATAATTCATACAAAGCCAGGAAATATCACTTCTTGTGATCAAGTCTAAAGAAATTGAGAGACTAAATGAGAAATAGAGAAAAACAAAAACTCTTACAAGCATTTGTGATTCAAGCCAATTAAGAAGCCTAAGACACATAAATGTGACTCAGAAACCCACTGTTATTGAGAGTATGGTTAAGTGTTATTATGCACACTTTGGTTCCTAGCACTCTGGAGGGTGAGGCAGGTAGGTCATGAATTTGAGACGTGTCTTTTATATACCAATATAGTTCTTCAAAGAAATATGGAGACTCAGAAAATTTAATGAATCCTTCTCAAATCATTTAGTAGCTGGCAGAAGAGGAAGGCACATTGCAGGCCAATCTCGAAGCGAAGCTTATGTTTTCATTTCATATCCTAGAGTTATAAGCATAAAAGCACTGTGTGGTTGTGTTGAGTGGAAAACTGAGAAAATAAAATTTACAATAATCTGGCCACACATGCTCTTTAATCCTAACACTCAAGAGACAGAAGCAGTTGGCCTTCTACAAGTTTGCGGCAGCATGGTCGACACAGTGAATTCCCGGCCAGCCAGTACTACACAGTGAGACCCTGACTCAAAAATAAGAATAATTCAGCTTTCTTTCATTTCTGATGAAACACGAATAGATTAACTTAGGTCAAAATTTATATAAGGTAACGTTCATGTGCCAAAAATAGTTATTCCATCCCAATTGTTATTCTTTTATAATTTTCAAAAAGCTATGAAAATAGTTTTGTTACAATTGTGACTCCTTTTGATCAAAATGATGACATTCTGATTTTCAAATCGAAGAGAGCCCTTCAATCACTTTGAAAGACATAAATTCATTCCAATTCTTGAAGTAAATCAAATTAACATTTCAAGTGATTTCCAAAAAGAATTCAAATGTATTGAGATAAGTGAGAAGTGTTTTAAATGACAGACTAGAAAATTATTTGTCGTATAACATGACTTACTTATGACATGATTGCACTAATTCCTTATGTTTTGACTGGGCACATTTTACACAATTTTTCTATATTTTAACTTTCTATAGTTTACTTCAGCATATTTTAAGTAGCACATTATGCTTCAAGGTAGAGTTTCCTGCTCTGACTATAACTTTTTCTTGGTTCTTATTTCTGTTCTCTATAAAGAGTTGTGAAACCTTACCCTTTGATGTGTCTTGCTCTCAAGGGCCCCTTGATACTTACTAGGTTCATTTAACTTAAACAAAGATATAGTCCCAGATTTGAAACTTAGCATATCTAGTATAGCTTTGTTTTTTAGCTTGTAGAATTAAGAAAACATTCAACATCCTATATTTCAAATGTCCAATTCAGTAACTTTTCATTTTTTAAACAAAACAATAATAATAATAATGCATTGGCTTGTTTTTAGAGGCCACAGAAGATGACAATGCAGCCACTTCTGATGAGAACTGATAGACTAAGATCAGAAAGAAGGAGAGGAGGACCTTCCCTATCAGTGGACTTGGGGAGGGGCATACATGCAGAAAGGTGAGGGAGGATGGGATTGGGAGGGGAGGAGGGAGGGAATTATGGGGGATACAAAATGAATAAAGTGTAATTAATAAAAGTTAAATAAAAAATTTAAAAAAAGAATGAAAAATAAAATTTCAAGTTTTGTTAAAAAAAATTAGGATTCACTGTCATTTGACTGCAATAGTGATTTTTAAACTAGGGAACTTATTTCTGCCCTGAAATGTTCATTCTGATGAAGTTCTGGTGGCAATGAAGAATGCCTGTCTCCTTTAGGTACATCTTGACTGCTGGAAAATTCAAGTCACACCCAGGAATTCTATTTTCCTGTGCTTACTCATCTGGCCACAGCCACGTAAATCCTCTCTGAGAGATACATTTGGAAGTGGAACTCCAGCGATGACTCATCCCTTTAATGCAGTGGCGCCTTAGAGGGAAAAAGCAGGGGTGCATTGGTTGCTAGGAAAATGCAGGTTACTAGAAGAAAATAACATCCTCTATTAATAAGGTCTAAGGTGCGACTCACATAATTGTTTTCATTCTTAAGATTGATGGGGCACATGAGGCATTTCTTTAAGCTGGTGACATCCTCATAAATGCCCCAAGTGTATAGGGCTGCATATGGTTTTAGAAGGAGACGTTTATAAAGAAGGTGGGGATCCCAGCTCGCTTCATGCTGTCTCTCTCTATATATATGTGTGTGCATGTGAGTGTGTATTCTTGGGCTTCTGGGAAGTGTCTTGACAGAGAACCTAAGCTGAGCAAAGCAGCCTTGACCTGAGTGAGCTAACTGGCACCATGAAAATAGCAGGTGTCTTTCTGCTCCTCTCTCTGGCTCTTCTCTGCTTTTTCTCAGGTGAGTTTTTCCTTACAATTAGCATCCCATAGTTACATCAAACCCAAAAGAAGAGGAATGGATCTTCCTCACATTTCAAAATTCAAATGATTTTTGTGTGAACGAGAAGTGAGGAAAGAACATCCTAATAGTGGTGACAGTAACGGTGTTGGTAATGTGGGTGATGATGACGGCGATGCTGGTAAGAATGATGAGAATGTCACTCACCGAGCATGTGCTCTGCTCTAGGCTTGGACCAAGAGCTGCTACAGATCATTGCTGATTCTTTGTAAGGGGTTTGTAGTCCTGTTCTTCACATAGGAAACTGTCACACAAGAGAAGGAAATTACTAACTTACTTATGATAGGTCGGTGGAATTTAAAATTTGTATTGAGGTCTTAAAGACATCACAAATGATGCTTAGTTGTAAGAACAGGTGTAGAAGACAAATAATTGGCCATAAAAGTAATCTTGGCTTTTCAGGAAAAAAAAAAAAAACTTTCCCATCCTTTTTTATTATTTCAGAGAGACTCAAGTAATTGAAATTGAAACAGAAAGGGGAATAGAAACTCAATGTGGAGCTTTGAAAAGAAGGTAAATAGTCTTAAAATGAAGAAACATATGAAGCAAGACAAGTAAATTGTTCTTCAAATGGGCAATATCTTGGACCACTTGCTCTAAATGAACAATAGACATGCATTTTGTCAACTGAGAGTTCAAAGTCACATTGTAAGGTAATATTTATCTAGAGATGAAAAGACTCCATTTCCAGGCCAAAGGCACCACTGATAAACACAGCCTTTTTTATTTATTGTCTCATTTTGGTCTATTGGTTAGTGGACAGTGTGTCCTTTGAGGAAAATAGACCCATGGCAAAGTTCCCACTGAAATCCTGCATCAACTAAAGAAATTTCTGTCTTTTTAGATACCTTTTCCTGTGTATATGAAAATAAGCTTGGAATATGATGGTGCTTCCATGGGGAATGTGTCTTTTTCTGGGACAGTAGAGGACAAACTTTGTTTTCAGGGTTTTTAAGTCATGGAAGACTTTGAAAAAAAAAAAAACAAACCTCTATGAGGTTAAGTAGAAGCTCGCTGTACTTAGTCATATTTACCGAAAAAAATACTTGTAAAATACATATTAAAATTAGATGAAAGATTCCTGTAATATTATCAACTAAGTTTGACGGTTAAAACTGAACTATTCTAAACATTCTCCTGAGATAGCAGAAAGTTAGACCTATGTTAAGACTCAGTCCCTGAAGTCAGTTGTTACACTTTGTAGCTTTTCCTGGTAAAGTTGGATTTACTCTAACAAGATCTGGTTGACTGAGCTCTCCAGAGCAGGGATGCTTCATAAACACATCAGCCTTCATTCATGGTAATATCAAGCTCAAGGAAGTCAATGCTAAAACTGAGAAAATGAATTTAAGTCTTAGCATTGCCATCATTCAACTCTGTGATCTTTCCGAATTTTCTTTTCCTTGTGTTAAGTCAAAATAGAGAATAAGCACTCCTATATGGGGACTTAGGTCAGAAAATGCATATAAACAGCTCAACATAGTAGACGGGTCACAATAAATGTTCAATAAATGTCTTATGTAATGTCATAATTAAAAATAACAAAGAATATTTTTCTTTATGTATTGCCAATATGAAATTAGCTTCTGCCTGGCTGTTTCCTAAATATGAAACAGTGGGCAAATCCTCTATCTTCCAAGCACAGTTGTTTTTTTTCAAAGTGAAACGACTGAAAATTGAAATAATTTCATTTCTAAGAACATTAAAAAAAATCACTGATAGGATTTACAAAAATACGGACTCCCCAGAATGTCTGGTTTCATAATTTGTGACTTTCACAGGAGGTAGCAGAAGCCTCTGAACTCTTAATAATCACCTACTCTGCCAGTGATGAATCAGCGCTGCTGGAGCAGCTTCTGGAAGAGACGATGAGGCCCCTATAAAATTCAAAAGCTGTGGCTTTCCCTACATCCACTAATACATCGCACTTGGAAGCATGCTGGCAATCATTCCTGAGTGCTGGCCCCATGCTGGACGAAGCTTCAGTCTATACCTCCTCCCTGAGGAAGCCTTGGGCTTACATGCCCAAAAGCTGTTGGTGCATTCACAGCTGCACAGAAAGGGCTGCATATCTAAAACCACAAATGTTAATATGTAAGAAGGAAGAAGAGGATGAGAAGTAAGACTACGTAGAGACCCATCTTCGGGAATTTAGAGAAGTGGAGAAGGCACAGAAAGTGGGTCATTGGAAAGAGGATGGATAGGTCTTTAAGAACATATAATTGGGTCCCATCTTTAAAACTGTGATTTGGTAGAAAGGACAGAAGAGCAATCCTGAGTTCGATAAACATCAAACGTCCCCCACTGTCCACGACACATGCTTTTGACAGAAAAGGCAAGGGCTGCGCTTGGGATGCTGGTTAGAGGAGTGTTTCCAATTCACCTTCATGAATTAGGGCCATGGATGATAGGGTCAATCTCAGAGTGAACAAAAATGAGTCAAAGCTGTGACATGAATCTCTGGATCGTAATCCTCCATCTTTCACGTAACTCTAATTCCCAACAAGAGTATCCCATCGTGGTCCTCTGCTCCCTAAGAACTGAGCAGACAGGAAAATAAGACACACTGAGGCTTTATGACATGGCCAACAGCTGGGAATAGTTATACACAATTCTGCCAAATTTGAAAAGTCTCACTTTTTGCACTTTCAGAAATTACAGAGTTTCGAATTTGTGCTTTTTTTCTTTTTCAGGTGCCTTCAGTCAAGGAGGACAGGTTAGTACCTATCTGTCTCTATTTTTTTGAACTAGGCAGTGTATAGCTGCTATTCCCTGAATAAAACGAGGTTTGTCAATGCAATGAAAGAAGGGGAACGTGAACAGAAAGGCCAAATCAAGAAATCAGATGAAACAATAAGATTTCAAAATATAGTTTCTCATCTCAAAAAATTTTAAATTTGAAGGTGCTTAAACCTACATTTTTATACATTGTCTGAGTGCTGTGATTATATACAAATATAAGCTGGGTATGAAACTAAGTTTATGTCTGGACTTTAACCAGACCACTGAGAAAAAAAGTTACTCAGTTCTCAAGGCCGAAAATGCAACAGCTTTTAAGCTAAGCACTAATATTCACTCTACAGAACTGCAATTATTACTGAGTTTCACAAACAAGGCAAAAATCATTTGGAAAATTGTAAACATTATGTGTGAATTAGTTACTGATACGTAATCCACTCTGATAGAGCTACAAGGGAGATCTTTGGTTTTTGTTCGTTTTTACAAAAATAAGAAATAAACCTAGTTTTGTGTATGCAGCACGCACAGTCTGCAACATCCAAATGCAATGCAGGGTGGGGTTAAAATCAGCTTGGGCACAAACTTCATTCATTAAGGTTTTGCTTTGTTTTGTTTTGCCTTGGGGCTTTGTTTTTGTTTTATTTGTTTTTTGGTTGCTTGTTTGTTTTTGTTCTGTTTTGTTTTGCTGTTGTTCTTAGGTTTGTTAGACAGAATTCTCTCTCTCTCTCTCTCTTTTGTTTTTATCTAACTACTGAAAACTTCCACAAACAAGTGCTATTTGCCCTGCTGGTCCTGCTAATTCTGTTGGACATTTCAACTTGATTTGGCTACTAGCTTTTTAAGTCTGAGAGTGCCCAAGAACTTTTGGCATCAAAATTTCCATTGGGCATTCAATGAAGTTTAAAAAACTGCTTTTCAGCTCTGGTGTATACATTATATTCTTTAGTTTATTTTATTAATTTTACTACCTCATAATTTAAGATGCATCTTAAAATTGGTGGTATCTTGTAATTTGTTCACAGGTGTATGTATTTGTATAATCAACACATACATACGTGTTTGTGTTTGAAGGTGTATATCCTAAAATTATGTACTCAAATAAGTGTTATACTGCAACTTACACTGAATTTAGAAGCAAACCAAAAGGATCTAAGACTCAATGTGTTTCATACATTAAACAGTAAAAAGATAATAAACTATTGCACATAAATCTACATAATTCTAAAAGATTTGACATTTGACCCTACACGTCACTTCCTTCCTTGGGATTTTCATTTCTGAGAGTTTAATTATGTTTCATATCAGTCATGTATTATTTACCATTTATCCTGTTCTTTTACATTAGTCTGCTTGCTCTAGGGTCACCTGACATGTTTTCTAAATACACAGATCCTCATGGAAGATGTTGAGCAACAGTTGAATTGTTAAGGGGTTTGAATTTGCATTTTAAACAACTTCACACAGGATACCTATAAAAAACCAAAATCTAGCAATTAAAAATAATGACAGCAACCAAGGTAGACGGGGATGGACTGGTGTTGAAGTCAGACAATGTGAATGAAATCTAATTCACAGTTGCTTGCCATGTGCTTTGCTGGCTCTTTCTCGTCTCGTTACCTCTGTTTCCACATCTTTAGGAGGAAGGTTGAGGTCCAGTATTACCCAAAACCTCTTCCTGCTCTAAATAATAATTATGAACCAAGCCTGCACTGCCAAGGCTTCTGCTTAGAAATTATAAAGTACAAGGGAGGTTTTGCTCTCCCAGACCACACCCAAGTGGCCTTCTCTTCCTTCTTCTTGGCCAGAGGGATAGTCGGGTCGAAGGAATGACTGATGTTAGGAACATGCCAGTTCAAGTCAGACCCAGCCAAGACAAAGGGAAGTCAGGTTTCCTCCAGTATTCCAACATTCCAGTGCCCAAGTCCTTCTTCCCAGGCCAGGCCAGGAGTTTTGTTCATGACACACCTTCCTGGAGATTATAGTTTGCACTCCTAATTATAGGCCTTTTCAAATTTCACATTAATTTACAACCATTCTTCAAGGTATCAGGGTGTGTTTGGTCACACACATAAATAGAAGCTTGGCTCTGGGAAGGCTGAGGCAGGAGGATAATCTAAATTTAAGGCTAACCTGGTTATTGTAACAAATTCCTGAGCAGACAAGCCTAGGCCCCTGACAGAATGAAAGCTCTCTGTTTTCCCATTCTTTTGTACTTTCCAAGGCTCAAAGTTTGGGTGGCAGATCCTTAAAGAGTCATTCAAATGTATAACCTTAGCAGCTGGTTCTTCTGTAGAGCTTTTTGGGGTAACTAAGCATTATATTTTAAGGTAACAACTGATTAATTTTAATACATTTGTAAAACAACGTTCCACTACCAAGATGGGTTTGAAGTTTGTGTATCTTTCCAAGTACCTTGGTTTTACATAAAATTAATGTACCGCCAATATTGAAATGCAGTTTGGAGGTGTTAGACAGCATCCACAGTGTAACCACAGAGGGGACCTGGAAGCCTGGCAAAGAGTGTGGATTAAGTCTAACAGCAGCAGGAAGCGGGTGGAATCAAGGTCCAAGACTGCTGAGTCTGTGTTGATTTGGTTGTAATCAGCTGTAGAGAGCCACCATGCAGTCTTGATAAAGGGCTTCGAGAAGTGCTATTTTTTTATGAATTTGATTTGGTAATCACAGTCTTCCTGTCTTATGCAAAGAGAATGATAAAAACAATAGTTTAAAATAACCTTTCTCCAAATGTACGAAGGTTGATACTAGTAGAAAATCACTTACATAGAACTGAACTTACGGTATTGGTCCAGACCAGAAATATTAAAGACTTTTACAGGTAATAAATTAGAATTAGCAAAAAAGTGAAGTTAAGTAAGAAAGAAAAAAAGAGCACATTTCAAAGTGAAAAATGGCGGCTTCAGGAAGAGAGGTGGCTGAGGCCTTGAGGATTGGCGCTTCCATTCAAATGGAACAATTGGAATACAAGGCTAGGTAAGAGGGAAGAAGAGCACAAGCTTCAGAAATAAATAACTCTTAGCTATGAATTAATTTTCATATGTCAGGTTTCTCAATCCTCTGGTAAAAAGTGAAGAAGAAGGGAGCTGACCTATTATCAAGTTAGGACGTTTTAAAAATCTTTGGGTGATCAGTAGTTGCATATATCACAAGAAGCTAGTAAAACGTTTATTACTAACCCGTACATCTATTCTCATAAGCATCTGAGAGCACATGCCAAGAGAATAGAGGCACATGAATGAGGGAGGAGGGGGAGGCTAGAGCACTCGTTCTCAGCCTTTCTAATGCTGCCACCCTTCAATACAATTCCTCTCATGGTGGTCCCCATAAAACCATTTCCCTTGCTACGTCGTAACTATTATTTTGCTACTTTTATGAACTATCATGTTTTCCAATGATCTTCAGCAACCCCTGTGAAAGGGTCCTTTGACCCCCAAAGGGCCTATAACCCACAGGTTAAGAACCCCTTGTCTAGACAGAGATGGGTTAAGAAGACTGGATTTGATAAAGGGTGGATTAGGAATTTCCTGGGAAATTTTTTAAACACGAGGGGTGGGAGATGATATCATTTTCTACTTTAAGTCCCTGTGCTTTGCATGGGAGAATGCATGTTTTCATTGGCCTGATCTGGAAAATGATTAAAATATTAATCATCCTGAGTCTTTAGTTGACTTCATGAACATATGTGCTCAAATTTCAATAAAAGCACATATTTCTATTGTCCCTATTAATAAGTATGACTAATCTGGATCCTTAAATGTCATGCCATTCTAGAAAAATTTTAGGAGACAACAATTTTTTGAAGAACAAAAAGGGGTGAGGCCAGTACTCGGTTTGCTGCCTAAGACCCTGACAGAAGCCGTGAATATCAAAGAAGATTAAATGAAAATTCCTGTTGAATGGGAAAGCAATCCAAACAATACTAAAAATGAATCTTATTAAAATAGGAAAGCAATCACTCAAAAATTCTGGGAAGGGATAGAACCTACCTGGTTGGAGTTTATGAAAACATGCCTCCACGTGGAAATTGATTCAGCTCTTTTGAGGCATTTTTCTTAGATCCAGAGGGCATTTCAGTTCTCCTGACTCTAAATGTTCCATGAATGGAATCTAAGTGGGGAAAAGGTAACCTGCCAGCTCCCCCAATCTAGATCTGCTTTGACTTCCAGTAAGAAGCCCATCATTTGGATGTCACTCAAGAGTCTACAACTAAATTAAAAGGAAGAAATTCAAGCAGATGAAAGCCATGCCAGTAATAATTCTTTTTAAAATTCTTTTCAAAAAATTTATTTATTATTTATTACGGCTTATTCATTTTGTATCCCATCTGTGGCCCCCTCCCTCATCTCCTCCTAATCCTACCCTCCCTCCCTCTTCACCTCCCATGACCCTCCCCAAGTCCACTAATAGGGGAAGTCTTCTTCCCCTTCTATCTTACCCTAGACTATCAGGTCTCATCAGGACTGGCTGCATTGTCTTTCTCTGTGGCCTGGCAAGGCTGCACCCCCCCCCCCCAGAGAGAGGTGGTCAGAGAGCCTGCCACTGAGTTCATGCCAGAGACAGCCTCTGCTCCCCTTACTAGGGAACCCAAATGGAGACTGAGTCTACGGGGTACGTCTGAGGAAAAAAAAAAAATCCAGAATGGAAAAAAAAAATCCTGTATAATAACAGATCTGGAGGTATCTCCCTCCCTGATCTCAAGCTGTACTATAGAGCAACAGTAATAAAAACTGTATGGTACTAGCATAGAAACAGAATGGTGGATCTATGGACTTAGATAGAAGACCCAGAAATAAACCCACTCGTACAGATACTTTTTTTGACAAAGAAGCCAAAAGAATACAATGGAACAAATATAACATCTTCAACAAATGGTGCTGGTCTAACTGGATGTCCACAAGCAATAATTCTTAATATTTTTCTTCATGTGGTAGGAGCTATGGCCTACTTTTATCCCTTGCAGTGCCTTATAGAAGGGTTTTCTGTTTGTTTGTTTGTTTGTTTGTTTGTTTGTTTGTTTGTTTTGGCGGGGCTTTTCAATATAACTACAGTGGCATTTTTTTTTACCTCTGCAACACCCAGGTTGGTCTTTTCAGTTTAATGCAGAGGCTTTTCTAGATATAAAAGAAGCGTTGAGGCAAGGAGAAGCATGTTTCCATCCAGCTGAAGAACTGAAGACAGAAAACCTTCAATGAAAGAAGCCATTGTTATTTCTCAGATCATCTGAGCTAGAAAGGCCACTGGAAAAGTACCCAGTACATGGAAAAGACCGTGTTGTTTGAGTGGAAACAGCAAAGACTGCATTTTCTTTAATGGGCCACTGGAAATTTGACCATGTTCCAATGAGTATATGAGTGACATGAATTGGATTTGTTGGGTTATTCTGCTTTCATTTTTTGTTTTGTCTGTTTGATTGGTTGGTTCTCTTTTGGGGAGAGCACAAGAGTGGGATGGTGGACTTGGGGAGAATAAAAAGCGGGTGTGATTGGGGTGCACTGTACAAAATTCCCAAATAATTAATAAAAATACTACGTTTTGTGCGGTGCAGAAACCTGCAGTGAGGAGACTTATTCCTGAAGTCTAGTCCAGGACCATATCAAACATTCCACGATGCCTATGCAAATCCTATGTCACATTCGGTTTCTGAGGCCCTGAGAGCCTGGGAGTCAGGCAGAGCAGGTAGCTGAGGGATGCTTTCTTCATGGAAGTAAGTGAGGAACAGGAACAGATAACACAGCCAATAATAAGAAAGTTCTAGAACATGATTCTCAGTTCACTTCTGGGGTCTTGAAGAGTCCCACTGTTAGCAGTACGGGAGCTAGCTGACCTGAGGCAGCTTGTTCACATGTCAGTTAGTGTGAATTTGTTTACTAAAACCCTTAGTCCTTCCTAATTTTTTTTTCCGATAGGCAAGGGAAGGTAGTAAGAGAGACTGAGGAGGGGTTGAGGGGATGAGGATACTGAAAGTGAATGTTTTCCCCAAGTGCCTGTCTTTATATCTGCTTTCCAAAGGACAAAAGAGGCTGGATCACGAGATCAGAAGGCCGATTGCCAAAGAAAGGTGTGTTAAGGCGTCGTCTCTTTCAAGTAAGAGGCTTTCTTATTTATTTCCCTTAATGTCTGAGATTACAGATCCAGGTGCCTTCTGCTCAGCTTGCACACAGTTGGCAGTTTTTTCCTGTGGCATTTGTCACACGCTGTTCTGCAATTACATCATCTCCTCTCTCTCCTCTCTAAAGAAGATGCAATGGTGTGCTGGATGGAAAGCAAGCAATTCCTTTGTCTGACCAGCATCCATCACTGTGCCTTCCATGCTTTTGTTACTCCTTGAGCATTTGCTGAATAAATGAAAGACCAAAAACAACACTGCAGTTCACATTCTTCTTTTGAGTCTCAAGGACATATCTGTGAGCATGTATGATAATGATTTAAATTTCTGAGGAAAAAAAATGTGTTTAGAGTGTATAATATTCTCCAGATGTTCTGGATGTAACTCTATTTGAATTTTTTTTAAAGATTATTTACATGGGAGAAATATAGAGGAAAGTTTTATTTTGGCACGTAAAGGAAGGCCAACACCACAGTCCCTCACCTGAACAGTATAAGATGTCAAATTTCAACAACAAAAAAGTGCAATTGATGTTCTTAGGTGCTTTAAACTTGATGTACATGCTTGTTTTAAAAACACAATTGTATGGCTATTTCATTTTACCAATCAAAACTGAGACAAGTGTGTCAGTATATAATGATGTCTGTCATCTTAAACAAGAGATGACCTCTTGCCAAGGCCCATAGATTTCACTACTCTCCCATATTAAAAGCAAAGATTTAATGACACAACGTTATAAGGCAACATAGAGAAAATATAATAAAATGTTACTTTAGTGAAGTTAATATACCTATTACCTCACCTCAATAACCATCTTGTGTTTTGTCATAATAACATTTAAATCTCATCAGTTAGCTGGAATTCTAATACAATTTTGGTATACAAATTTAGCGTTTATGTTATACATTAGAACTGATAGGCTATATTAATGAAAACTGTGTGTCCTGATTATAGTGTGGTCAAGGATACGAAGTGATACTGACACTGATTCTTTCAATAAGGAGTATTATTATTCAACTGTAGTAGATTATTGGAAATTCTGGATCCAAAATTGAGAAGTAAGGTGTTCAAGTATGGCTAAGGAACTCAATTTTAGACATTCTCTTGTCCCTTCTCCCTGCTGACTAAGAGAACTCAATATATCTCTCAGGGATACTAGGTTCAGCTGAAGTGATCTCCTTGAAAGTGATGAACTTTTTTTGAGACACTGAAAAGCATAAGGATGTTACTCTAATGGAACTAAAATGAGATTAATGCTAGCTGACTTTGTTCATATATAAATAACACTCCATTGCTGCTAGCTGATATTTGGAAGCTTTTTGTTCAGTGGATTTCATATTATTAATATCTTAGAAATAAAAGTACACCAAGTATCAATTCTATTACTTTCAGATTAGAAAGTATCTTACTGCTACTAATTATTTTATTAGTGCAATAGGGTATGTTACCATGTTTTTTTCTGTGATATCAGTTCTTAATTGGACATAACAAATGTTCTCATGTGACTGAATGAAGCCACAGGATCCTTCTAAACACAGCAGCTTAGGGGACCATTAATACATTACTTATAGCAGTCAGCAAAGTTCAAATTCTACAAAAAGATTATTAGAGTAAATTAATATGAAGACAAAGTTTTATTTTCAATATATAATAAATGTATGGTATTGCATCCAGGAAAGACTAACAAGCTTCATGTAATGTCTAGCAATTTCCCTGCAGTCATATTTTGATAGTATGCAGAAGTACTGTTAGGGTATATTAACATAGTACATGTGATAAAAGAATGGGTATGTATAACCCAAAAGTACCCTCAACTAGATCAATTTAATGTTGGAACAAAAAGTTTTACTGATAAGCATTTTACCTCATTGATTTACTTGTAAGTACAATAATGTGTGTCTCAAGTTCCCGTGTCTTAATAAAATGTCTCAGTGAAACAATATGTCCTATGTAAGCATCTTTCAGGGTGCACGACATAAAGGTCCTGCTCCACATCATCAGTTTATTAGAGAGGATACTAATGATGCCCTTTTTCCATTGTAGATCAACTGTGGCGAGTTCCGTGACCCCAAGGTCTTCTGCACTCGGGAATCTGACCCACTCTGTGGCTCTGATGGCCAGACATACGGGAATAAATGTTCCTTCTGCAAGGCCTTGGCGTAAGTTTTGTTCTCCCTGCACCTGTGTCTCATGAGAATAAACTTCAAAAGCCAGACTCCAACTTGCATAACAAATTATTTCAAAACATTTTAACTACTTTGTAACTATTATAATGCATTTGGGGAATTCTTTGTAATACATTTTCCATATAGCAATGTAATTTTAATAATTCTCACACTTTTATCATTTTATATTACTCAAATATTTATTCACTTTTATTTTCTGTGCATAAATGTTTTGCCTGCATGTATGTCTGTGCACCATGAGCATACCTGGAACAAAGGGAGGCGAAAAGAGGGTATCAGACCACCTGAAACTGGAGTTACCGATGGTTGTAAACTGCCCTACGGGTTCTGAGACTCAAACCCATGACTCTTAAGAGCAGTCAGTGTTCTTAAACACTGGGCCATCTTTCCAGCCCCACTTTTTCTTATTTAAAAAATAGTTTATGATGTCAATATTGATTTCAACATGTAAGCAACAGATTAATATGTGATATATATCTGTGCAATTCATTTCAAATTTCTCTCAGCCTAAGTTCAAGGAGAAGGGTGAGATTTAAATGAATGAATTGACATGTACCTGATAAAACCTTCATGTGCAGCCTGCTATAAATAGCAAAATGCTTCAATGTTTGGTTCATTTTCCTGCCAGAACAGAACCACGAATTATCGTTTATTGGCATTATTTCTCCTCCCATCTACTTTTCTTTCTTTGACAATGAGTAATGGATAGTGAAAGCTCCAAGGACTAACAGCTGAGACTGGTTTAAGATTCATGCCCTACACAGGTTGATGAGGGCATTCAATTAACTTCTGTTGATTAGCAGCATAGTTAGCAACAAAATCCAATGAGCAGATGGGCGGTGCCATATTTAATGCTGCTCCGGGCTGTGTCAAACACTGAAGATATTCCAATAAGTATATGTTTGTCTTTTTTGTAGGAAAAGTTCTGGAAAGATCAACTTGAAACATCATGGAAAATGCTGAATTTTAGCCGGTGTTTTGTGCCAGCTTGCCTAGTTTCCTTTTTTTGATTTCTGCTTTTTGCTCTTCTCTGGCAAATCCCATAAATTCATAAAAAATAAAACACAGCTTTTTCTGTGTGTGGGTGCTATGTAAGTCAATACATTGATTTCCTTTGACTTTTCAATAAAGCAACATCTGCAGAATTGATTACAGTTTTGTCTGAGATTAATATAAAAACTTATACAACAAAGAATAATGAATGTGATTCATTAATTTGAATCAAAATCTTCCTTTCCTCATCAAAATACACCATTCACCACAATGAAGGCCTGCAAAAAAGTGACTCTCTTCTGCTTTTGGAATTTGCATGACAATAATAAAGCTTATATCAATGTTATTCTATAGTATGTTATTTAAATATTAGATCAAGGATGTTGGTGCTTATTAATTTCAGGAAAGTTATTTTACATAAAAGCAAAATATTATGTATGAAGCTGGTTTTCACCTCTCTTTAAATAGTGTGTGTGGACTGTGTAATATTTAAATACATACAGTATTTGGCTTTTTTAAAACATCACTAGGCATTCCGAAGTAAAGAAAAGCTCAAACTGAACAGTGAATAGTTAACGAATGCTGATTATTCGATAAAAATATGTGAAAATTTTCTTAAAGAGAGTTTCATTGTAAAATGGGAAAAATGTGTAAATTGTTAGGAATCCAATGACCTACAGTAATTAGTTACTTGCCAAAAAAATCAATTTTAATTAAAAAAAAAAAACTAACAATTACAACAGTCCTTTCAATAAGCCAGTCGTAGTCCATAGAGTTACTCCATTCTATGAAAACTCAAAATCTTCATGTAGAAGTTCATCTAGTTCTCAGAAATTGGCATGAAGTCTTGGTAACCAGTCATTTCAATACTTTTTTGCACTAGAATATGATTTTTAAAATAATGCCTTACAGAAGAAAAATCTCATTTAACACATATCAGGATTCACTTGAATGCAATGACTTTCACTCTGTTAAAACCTTTTCCTGGATGTTCAGTCTGTTCTAGATGCTTACAATAACACCTGTAAATATAAATAAGAAGAACCAGTAGTTCTTCAATCACAAATTAGATTTACATTTATTGATGGAAAATAAAAATAAAGTAGAAAAAATTAGAAGTAATAAATATGATAAAAACAACATAGTAAGATGGAATGTGATATATGCTACAGGAAAAAATATTAAGTAGAATCTGTTAATATGGGTGAAATTCTTAGGGAGGACTCATATTCAATGACAATATTGTTTGGTGGCTAGAGTCACTCTTACTAGCAAGACCTGCTGATGAGAGAATTGCCCTAGCAAGTATCTTGAATAAGAGCAAAGCAAGAAGCTAGGTCACAATCCTTGAGTTTGAGAATGCTTAGTTTGTTCTAGTTGATACCCTGGAGCTAAGGAAGATTTTGTTGAAAAGCAAACAACAGGTGACCCGGGCAGAGAATAATAAACCCGAATTTTGAAGCATGGTTATTGCTCAGCCTTTGACTTTGACCTTCATGTTAAAGATATGTTTGTAACTGTAAATGTTAAGATCAAATGTCTGACTTAGATCAGAAGATTTACCTCAATGGTAGAGCACTAGCCTAGCATGCATAAGGTCCCGTATTTCCTCTCCAGTACCACTAAACAAGTACACACATAAGTACAATTAGGATCTCAAATATACTTGGGGCATGTAGATATTACCCTTGTGAATATGATCAAAGTATATCTAGAGAGATTGGACTATTATGAGTGACTAAATAAAGATCCAAGAAATTGTTTAGGTCATGCAAGAAAAAGCACATAGGCATGTGTTTCCATGTCTAAAAAGTATCCCCTTAAAAAATAAAGATAACTATATAAAATACAATTGAGTGGGCTTTCAATCAATGCAACGCAATGTAAATTATGACTCTTAAATAAAATTATAAAGTTATTTGTCTTTTTTTGCTGTTAAGATTTTAGACATGAATGACTAAATTTAATCAAGATGTAGGTTAGATTAGGTTTTAGCTTACTTATCTTGTTAACTTGCGAAATGAAACTACCACCTTCCAGCTATACCACTCCTAGGCATATAACCAAAAGACCCTCAGTTATACAACAAGGACATTTGCTCAACCATGTTTGTAGCAGCTTTATTTGTAATAGCCGGAAGCTGGAAACAGCCCAGATACCCCTCAGTGGAGTAATGGATACAGAAATTGTGGTACATCTGCACAATAGAATATTACTCAGCAATAAAAAAACAAGGACATCATGAAATTTGCAGGCAAATGGTGGGAACTGGAAAAGATCATCCTGAGTGAGGTATCCCAAAAGCAGCAAGACTCACAGGGTATATACTCACTCATAAGTGGATATTAGACATATAATATAGGATAAACATACTAAAATCTGTACACTTAAAGAAGCTATTCAAGAAGGAGGACTTTGGCTAAGATACTCAATCCCCATTCAGAAAGGCAAAGAGGATGGACATCGGAGGAGCAAGAAAACAGGGAACAGGACAGGAGCCTATCACAGAGGGCCTCTGTAAGGCTCTACCCCGTAGGGTATTGAGGCAGATGCTGGGACTCATAGCCAAACTTTGGGCAGTATTCAGGGAATCTTATGAAAGAAGTGGAGACAGTAAGATCTGGAGAGGACAGGATCTCCACAAGGAGAGCAACAGATCCAAAAAGTCTGGGCACAGGGGTCTTTTCTGAGACTCATACTCCAACCAAGGACTACTCGTGGAGATAACCTAGAACTCCTGGACAGATGTAGCCCATGGCAGTTCAGTGTCCAAGTGGGTTCCCTAATAATGGTAACAGGGACTGTCTCTGACATGAACTCAGTGGGTGGCTCTTTAATCACCTCCTCCTGAGGGGGGAGCAGCCTTACCAGTCCACAGAGGAAGACAATGAAGCCAGTCCATATGAGACCTGATAGACTAGGTTCGGAGGGAAGTGGAGGTGGACATCCCCTATCAGCGGACTAGGGGAGGGGCATAGATGGAGAAGAGGGAGGGAGAGTGGGATTTGGAGAAGATGAAGGAGGGGGCTATAGGGCAGATGCAAAGTGAATAAACTGAAATTAATAAAGTAAAATTAAATTCAAAAAAGTAAAAATGGATGAAGGCTAAAACAAAAAGAATATTGCTCACGTAGCTTTTTATATGTAACAAGAAGCAATATACTATGACTGTGATTATTGTATTCAGTCATCATTTACAGAATAACAATTTCTACATTTCTATGGAGTTTTTTATTTTATTTATGATGTAATAGTTTTTAAAATATCAATCTTCTTTTTATATACCATTTTCATACTCTTTATCTCCAGTATTTTGTCCTCAATGCCTGTAAGCTAAACTACAACTTCTCATTTGGAGAATCATGCCTTTTTACTTACTTTAATTCTATTGAGTAAAATAATGTAGCTATTTCTAGCACAAACATGCAAACACTGGGATTGCCAACAAAATCACAGTGCTTCTGTGGAATGTTGTTTCTAAGCAAAATCAAGTGTGTCTCTTATTTGGAACCTTTCCCTGCAGCCCTGACAGCTCCTTCTCTATTATCCTCACGGTGAGCACTCCCATTATTCACTGAACTTTCCTTCCTGGAACATTCTTCACATCTTCTTTACAGCTTCCTTCTTCCCTCACAAAATTTGCTAACCTGTATCTTAATTCTAACATATATCCTAAGGCTTATTTCATGGGCTGTATCTGAAAGTGGACAAAATAACATTTGCTTTCCAGTTATAAACTATATTTGAAGATGTAAAGAAAATATATAAAAGAACAGAAGGAGAGAAGTTATATTTCTTAGAGGGAGAGGATAATCAAATATTAGCAATCAAAATGTAAGTATTTGGGTTACAGGATGTATATATTTATTAATATTCATGGTTTTTATGTTAAGAAGGTAAATATTTCTTGGTCTTAAATATGATATGCATAGGCGCCAATGCTTGTAATTTAACTTAAAGCACATGATAAACAGATGAAATGTGGACTGGATGAAATATCCAAATGGATTCCTAGGAAAAGCTGAGAAAATGGAAACAGAAAGTAGAAAGTGGCTTACCAGGATGAAGAAAATTTTGTGAGAATCAAAGGGTTCTCTTTTGCGTCTATAGATGGATAGAAACTGAGGATCTAATGTCTATGTAGACTGTGGTGATAATTTGGTATTGGTACTGAAAATGAAAGACCCCAGCCTCACACTAAGTTAAACATAGCTAATGCCAT